TTATATTCAACTTTACTTTTTCATATGCATTATTTTTTGATAACTAGTACAAAATAAATCATCTCAGATTTAACATAATTTCAACAATTTTATTTTGGTTGTTTTGAAGCAAAGAAAAAAGAATTAGTTATTTTCAACGGAATGAATTTTCATTTTAAATGAGTTAATTAAACATATATCTAAATAAAGATTATATTGATTAGTATTTAAAAAAGAAATCATATTTTTAAACTAATTTTACATATTTGAGATCATAATTTAAATATATGACAATTGTTCCTGTTTGCTTTTCATACATGGTGATCTATAAATAAGACTACAAGAAAAATTGTTATATCTTCGCTTTGGTTCAATAAAATGCACCAAGTGTTTTTGGTTCGTGATAGAAGTTTATTTAAAATTTCTTTTTATAGAAATAATGTAAGTCAACTCTACTGTCAAGTATTATTGTTGACATTCTTAAAAATATTTAACCAAATATTAAACCAGGAAAATCCATGTATAGCGTCTCATAGATAATTTTCAGTTGTCACCTTAGAGAATAACAAGAAGAAATCAAAACACACTTCATGAGTGATACTACATTGATGCAAATAGAGGAAATTTTCATAACTAGGTAGTTTAAAAGTTGCAATTCCTGTTTCATAACTAAAACACACAATTAAAACCCTTGGAAGCAACAAAATATCAGCTTCCTTGCAAAACCTAGTGTTCCTTGCTAGATAATGCAAACCATTGTAATCATAGCTTTCAAAGTAATTAGTTCTGAAAATTTTCTGTGCATACATTAATATTATGTCATGCATAAAGTTTTTTTAACTTCCTGTTGTTCTCTTAAATGACAATTGAAGCCTATCTATGAAACACTTCACATGTATTTTCCTGGTTTAATGTGGGTTAAATATTTTTAATGATGTTAATAATATTATTTAACAATAGAGTTTGCTTGCATTATTCATATGAAAAAAAAAATTAAAATAAACTTCTACCACCAACCAAAAAATTGGAGCATTTGATGGAAACGAGGCGGAGATATAATTATTTTTTCTCGTAGTCTTATTTATGGCTTACCCTATATATTCATTAAAATTTAAATATAGTTTTTATAATCACCCAAGACTGAAATAAGAAGCTTTTCCTGCCTCACCTCAGCTCAGGCCAACTTTATTTTTTCTCTTTCTCACCTTGATCGTCTTTATAAGATAATTGTTTAATTTTACGAGGAGACTCTTCCAACTGATTTATTGCTTTTGATTTGATGCTACGCGTGTTCTGTGGAACCAAATGAACTATGAATACCCAGAAGACAGCTCCGGTCCTTAGCTTATTGCTCTCGGGATATTATACTTTTACAGTGGTTTTTAAATAAATGTCATGGTCTCCCTCAGAAAAATTGGGAAAATTTGATTTTCGAATTTCGACTTGAAACTTTGTACAGAGATAGACTTTCATAAGAATACTTTATTGTGACAGTTTCAGATCTTTTGATTTGCTTCCATCCTAAAGAAGAAGATCTAATCTACCGTTGTATACAGTGGGAACTAAAATTATTTAACAATGTCTATTTTCAATGTTTTTCCGCTGCCGTAAGCGTTAGGAAGAATCCAAATAGTGATTCGAGTAGAAAAAATCGTTTTCAATAATAATACCTATAAGGAAATAAAATTTTTTATCAAGTTCACAAAGATAGGGATTCTAGAAAATCAAAAAGCTAGGTTTTCAACATTTAGAACGGGTAAATATAATTTTGTTTAGACTACATCGAATGATAGAACAAACAATTCTCTATAAAATGAGAAGTGTTCGAGTTCTCTGCAACATTTTTTGGCTAAGATATAGCAATTTCATTGAAGGTAAAAAAAATGGTTTTTCTACAGGAAATTGGAAAAGAGCGACCTTAAGGCTTTCATAAGTTTGCTATACCTTAGCTAAAGAACTCCTCAGAGAACCTGAAGACTTCTCATTATGTAAAGAATTGTTTACTTTATTGTTCTAGGTAATCTAAATAATATTATATTTACCCATTCTAGGTGTTGAAAAACTAGTATTTTGGCTTTCTGACGTTCTTATCTTTACGAATCTGATAATAATTTCTATTTCTTTATATTCCTTTTGAAAACAATTTTCTCTATTTGAATCACTGTTTGGATTCTTTCTAGTGCTTATGGCAGCGAAAAAAACTTCAAAATAACTCTTATTGAGTAATTTTGGCACCTATAAAAAATCTCGTTTAATATATGGCAATGTCTCAATTATACGATTGAAAAAATCTCATAAAAGCAATGCAATTGCCTAATTGTTTGTTTTGTTATCGATATTACAAATTGGTTGTTTGAAAACAATAATAGTATAAATAGTAAATGTAGCTAAAGCGACTACTACGATATGTCTTGTAATCACTGTCAACGCTTTCTTCACGAAAATTATTATAGATTGATTAATTATCGTTTATGCTAGTGATGGATAGCATCAGTTGTCCTTTCGTAGCTACAATGTGAGGTATGAGCAGCTAAGAGACAATAGTGTCTGTTTTCTTTATTGTCTTTAATTCTATCTCGAAAAAATACTGAGTCTGTAATATTCTCTTCTGCGGAAATAATGCCTCAGCGAATGGAATCACTTGCAAAGACTCAAGTAAAGTTTTATAAGTTTCAAGTCTCTTCAAGTACCAAAATCCCTTTTTTACCTTTCCATATAAAATACGATAAAACAAAAACATCTGCTGTAAACATACCATCGATTATGCAGTATATATATATTCTCTATACAGGGTGTTTCATAAGTTTTGGGACGCGACAAAATTGGTTTATATTGACATATAGAACAATGTCCAGCCTTTATGTTTTTATATCAATTTCAAGTACTCGAGATGGCCTTTCAAAAGATATATGATTGAATAGCATCTTTCCTTATAATAAGAAAAATATGAATACAATAAGGTAATAATGAATTTTTCGAAATCGATTTATATAATTTTCTTCCAAACATTTTCTAATTAAGTATTGAACATATTCATATTAGGTATACCGTAAGTATAATCAACTACTGGATATCTTAGCCGTTTCAGAGACACTCATTTCGAACTAAGCTCGATGCTTCGTTAGTGATGTGAAATGAACGAAATACGTATGTGCACATCATGTGTGTAATGATAGTAGCATGTTCTGTACAGAACGAAAAAATGTTCCTTGTATCAGTAATGTTCACATTTTGTTTCTTAATCAAAACGGTTGTTAAATATATACTGTGACTGGTCGTGTCACGGGTGTCGTTTAATTAGACAAATGTAAACCATCTAAAAGAAGCACGTGTCGATTTCTAATATTTTTTTATTTTGGCTTATTGAGTCAATTCAACTTGTGTGTTTCTTCTACTTGATATTCGTTTCGACATTTTCAATTTTTTCGATATCATGTCTCATAAGTCATCTAGACTACATGAAAAAAAATCATTTCAAACACTAGCATTATTATTACATCGTCAGAGTCCTAGCTGAACTGCATCTGACATTGCAAGTTTCCTTCAACAATCGGACAATCCACCACTTTTAAATCGACATGCTTTAATGAAAAAAAATCGATTACACATTAGGAAAAGAATCAATTTATGATCGAAAATAATCTGGTAGATCACGAAGTACTACAACAACTACCTATCGAAACATAGTCTTGAAAGAAATCCAACCAAAAAAACAAAGCTAGTATAAGAAATGTTTCAGCAAAATTAAAACAAAAAAAGTTGGCAAACATCACCGTCTTCAGTTTATAGGATTACCAAATCAGCAGGATTACAATGTTTCAAAAAGAAACGAACACAAAAATTAACAGATGATAATAAAATACAAAGTATCGAATGAGCCAAGAAATTAAGAAAAAATTTTGTTATCACGAAAAGATCAAGAAACTGGAGATGGAATCGAATAATCAATACTGACTTTTCTGGGAAGCTCAGTTTAGAATCATTTTCAAATCCACATCATGAAGGGGTTTGGACGACAAATGCTGAAGAAATGCCATCAGCAATCTGTAATCGATCAAAAAACTAGAGTGTGGATGTGGATGTAGGTGTCGGTAATAGAACAACTACACCCAACCTCCTCCATTTTCACCCACACCAACACCCACGCCCTCAATATTTATTTCTATAAGTATAACGAAAAAATACTTACATATTGTATATAAATGTTATTATAATGTGTAGAATGAATTTAACATATGTTAGTAGTACATCAGATGAATATATAGAAGTCGATGAGTTAACATGAAGTGCAAACTGAATACGAGTATGTCTTTCGTCATTATTGAAAAAAGACGATTCAAGTACAGACAACGCACCAGAGGGTAAGAGACTAATGTCTTCACAGCTGCCCATTTAACTTGCTCTCCCCCATCATTTGCTTCTCCTCCTTGGTTGAGAAATAAATCGAATGTTTTCAAATTTGGCATATCAAGGTTTGCAATAGGTGGAATTCCAGTTCAAACTGTTTTCATCACGGGTTTATGAACATTGATGCAAGGGTGTGAGTGTGGGTGCTGATAGGTGTCAGAAGTAAGAGAAGATCCACATCCACACCCACACCCATCCTAAAATTGTACTCTACAACGTAACAGAAACATTCATTCAAAATTTTGAAATAAATACTTAATGTTTGAAGTAGCGCGTTACGTAGACAAGCAGACATATTCTCATGCAGTCGAAACTACCTGATGAGACCCTTTAGTAAGGTCGAAAGGCGCCGAAGTTTGCTTGTCTCACCCCTCACTCTTGTCCTCAAATTCAATTCCGTCAAACTTATTTCATGAATTGAGTGGCATAGATCTGATGTATACTGTTAAAAATAATAATTTTATACAATTAATAAATCTCTATTAAAAAATAAGATAATTATAATTGATAGATTTATTGAATAATTTCAGTACGACATCAAAAGCTTTGACAAAATTAATTCATTTCTCTTGCGATATTCTTAGTTTTTCTTTTCTTGATATATGTTAAATATTTTATTGAAGAACTTCGGATTTAATTCGATTTTTTTTATGTTTATAAATTTGAACAACAATTATTGCTAAACAACGAGTTATAAGAACTAATCCACCATTAAGAGAAATGAGAGATATTATTGTTTGAGTTACATCATGAGTTTTAATATAAGAATATGAACATGATAATGGCGCACATCGATTAAAATAATTTTCATATGATAAATTACTTTTATACTTTTCAATCATTAAATTATTTAAAATTAATTCAATTGTTGAATTTAAATTATATTGACTTTTTGCCAACGTTGACATATTTAATCTTGTAAAATTTCCATTTAAATCAATACAATTTTGATCATAAAAACAGTAAAGTTTTGTTTGAAGAATAGATTCAAGTGGATAACAACCACTCATCATACCTCCTGATGATTGGGTACATTTAAATGATAATCCACAATTACATTCACCATAACTTACAGGTACTACATGTACAGGTAAATAATAAAAGTATTCACTTTGAAGAGCATACTCCCAATCAGTGATCCATGCACTCATAATCATATTCGAACCAATTATTTCACGAATTAAATTAAAAAGATTAATAAATGATTTGGATGCAGTTAATTGAAGTCGATTTAGAATTATTTCAATTTCTTCGATTAAAAGATTTTCAGATAAAAGCTGAGAATTCATAAAATAACTTGTCAGAAATTGCGTAAGGGTACGATTTACTTTTTCTTGACTAAGTTTACAAAGTGAAGAAAGTGAAAGGAATTGTCCAGGAGCTGAATAACGATAATCATCGAATGAAAATCGACGAGAAAGATGACCTTCGCCATAAATATAATGAATCCATTCATCAGAGATAAATTGACTTGAACATAAATCATGAAAATGAGGTTCAATATTAAGAAATGTTTCATATTGAATAGATATTTGTGAACAAGAACATTGAAGAGAATAAGAATGATCTTTTAATAAATCTTTATATTTTGAAAGTGATGGTTTTATTATTTGAACAGTAACTAATTTTGGTTTAAAAGCAGAAAATAGAAATATGAAATATAATATTAATAAAAGAAAAATGAAATGAAGTCGATTAATAATACGCTGTTCAGTATTACAAATAAATAAGTTTTTTATCATTGTTATAAATCCATTAAAAGAATTATTATTAATTGTCTTCTCAATAAATCGAAGAATAATTAAAGTAAGTAGTTTTAATCCAAGAGATAAACCACCACAAATACCAAGAATTGTTGTTATAACAAAGAATAAATCATTTCGACTAATATATTGATATGTGCATGATGATGGAGAACATGTATTATAATATGAAGAAAATGAAATATTCGATGTCCAAGAATCAATCATAAGTCTATTGATAATTGATTCCATTGTTTCGTTCGGTGGACTAAGATTTTCATTTAAATTTGAAAAATTAAAAGATGATCTAAGAGCGTTATTAAGATTGTCATCTAATTCAATCATACATGATAGATTATAAAAACATTCTAAAGTTGATTTCATTAATCCTTCGATTTGGGAACAACCCAGAAAAAAATTTGGGATTTTGATAAATAGTTGGGGAAGCTCCAAATAATATACATCGCTACCGTACACACCGATAGAGATAAGGCATGAAGATAAAGCACATGAACAATTCAAATATTCCACTACTTCAGGATTCACTTTTGTATCATTCGAGTGTATATAAGGAATATAATAATGAGACAGCTCACTAACAAGTTGATTTCCATGTGATACAGCTTGAAATATTTTTATTGTTTCTAAAAATTGATCAATAGTTTGAGATTTCCAATCATTAATAGATGAATTAATTTTAGCTTCAAATTGATTTTGAGAAGTAACTTGGGAAGAAAGAAATTGTGTTTGAAGAAATGTTTTGATACTAATATTAACTGTTTGTTGAGCGTGTTGACATAACAATGACAACAACTGAAAATGGAATACACCAGAATTTTGATAGTCAAATATTGAAAAATAATCGTTCATCACGTCGTCACCCTTGATATAATTAATCCATGCATCTGATATTAAATCACTTGAACATACTTGGTGAAAGTAAGGTTCAATCATAATAAGAGTTGAATAACTCATTGAAACTGTTGAACATGGACAATAAAGATTTGAAGAATAAATTTTTTCAAGTTCTTTATATTGAAATTCTGATGGTTGAGAAATTATTTTTTGTTGAAGATCTTCATTTAATAATAAATAAAAACTAATTACAATAAGCGGAATGAGAAGAACTAATAAGTGCAATCGAGTTGCAATTCTTTGATAATTAATTTGATGTTGATTACTTCCATTAGCTTTAAACATATTTAGTTCAATTAAATTGTTTTTCAAAAGTCTTTTTATCTTTGTTGTTACTAAACACAAAATAAAGAAAAAAAAAATTATTTTAAATTTTAATCAAGAAAAACAAATAAAAACTTTTGTCGTCTCAAAATAATTTCAATAGTAAATCAAGTCAATCAATATAATCAACAAGATAAATATGTCGGTGTACCAATTTTAAAAGAAGTTATTGCTCTACTAAAAAACTTTATTTTCTTCCTCAAAAAGTGTCAGATAAAATCGAGATTTTTCATTGTAGAATGTATTTCTCAATTTTCAGAAGTTTCTTGCATCATAAAAAGTCAAATAAATAAAACCGATTTTATTGAGATAAAACGTACACATGTCTCGTAGTCTTCATTAACTGAGAACCTGCTTATATATAGGTCTTCTATTTTCTTACTTCTTCTATTTAGTCTGATGGTGTATTGATCATACTTTATAATGAATAGTTATTTTCTGTTTAAGATCATGTTCACAACAGTTTCATCCAATATACACAGAACTTTTTTTTTCGCTGGACACCTCCGTTAGTCTATTGTGCTATCCTCTCTGCTATACAAAGTTTTAAGAAGAGAATTAATCGTGCCAGATATGGACGAGGATGTCAAGGAGTCATAACGTCATCGTTTGATTCTGCCTCACCTCATTCAAAGTCTTTTTTTCAGACTATTTATTCATAAAACTTTAAATAGCTTTCGATTATGTATTTTGCATTTCCTGAGATGAAGAGGTACAGTTCAAATACAGCTTCAACTATAAATAATAACAAGGTTATAGGAAATTTAAATATTTTGCCTTCAATCCATTCAGATGAGCTCATTTGTTTGGGACTAGAACTCTCCTCATTTTTTCTTCATTCGGATAACGTAAATAAATACAATTTTTACGTATTTCGATTGACCTAATAAAAACAATATGACTACTAGTAGTTGCCAAGTAAGAAAAATACATTTAAAATACTGTGTAGACAATTTTGAGTTGTCATTTGACAGAATGACTTGAAAAACTTTTAAAAAGTTTGCTGAATAATATCATACTGATATAGATATAGAAAACATTTTGAACTAGCTTATTAGAATGTGCCGATAGACACAGCGCTCTTACATTACATCTCACTGACATAATATCCTTTATATGGAGTAATCCTCATCCTTATTATATTGGTGTTCTATCCCTTCTGTTTCTTTTTTTTGTTCTTCTATATAACGTAATGTTCTATGTAAAATCAACACAACCGAGTGATGGAGTAGTGAAGTAGACATCATACACCGAGGATAGTGGTAATGCTACTCCACCAGTTTGTCATTGTGATTACAATAAAATAAATGATGCTGCAGTAACAAAATATCTTCATCTTTTTAAAATTTGATCCAGGAATAAACTCCTTTCCATAATAGAAGCCTCCGGGAGCTTCTAAACTGCCCATTATTCGAAGTTGTTGAAGAGGGCTTTCATTATAGGATGGAACTATTAATATGACTTTCGTAGAGAGATTTCGAAAACTCTATAATGAAGTCATTATTTCCATCATCTTGACTAATTATTTGTAATAAATTCAAATAATCTTACAACATTCTATAGCATTCAGAAAGAATGTTATATCAGATTACAACACGTTAAAAATGGGATCTATCTATACTAAACAGTAAGAGTTATCGAATGTTTTTAGACATCGAACTTAAAGCATTTTTGAAAACTTTATACCTTTTTCCCGAAAAAAAGGTTAAGATAACTGGAGATTCACAATGGAATAAAATGTTTTCTAGGATATCTTTACATGGTTTAATAGAGCTCGTCGATCTCTACAAAATTTTATATATTTTTAGAAAGAATGAATCATTTCTATGAGACCAAAGAAAAGCATTCGATTTTTCAATAAAATTAGTTTTTTTTTTCATTATTCTTTTAAACCATAGTGTGCCGCTATACACGTCACGGCTCGGTGCTCTTCCTCTTTCCTTTTTGGGTGTGGATCTTCTCTTCAACAAAACCCACACCCTCTACAAGTCTTGAATTTTTCACTTAGGTTTCATAGGCAGAGTTAATATTTCTGTTTATACGATAATTCAATCTCAAATCTGGTCTTTAATGTAATATTAATAAAATAAATTGACAGGTTTATCTCAAGTTGAACTGTTTTAGTCGTGCTTTCTAGGAAATGAGATGAAATTTGACGAAAAAAAATTAAAATTTTTAGAGAAATTAGAGAGAATGAAACTGCCGTTCTTGAAAAAATGTAATTATTTGGATTAAAGAATTTCAACTTGTTCTAGACATATTTTATTATGAAAAAATTATAAATCTAGAAAACTATAAAAATTCATTTTTGACTTAGCCATGACGGGGACCGGAGTTTGTTTAGAAATTTCTTTAAACCAGTAAAAACCGGCGAAGACTGATCAGTCCAATAATCAATTCAACCGGTCCAGTTCCAACTCTGTGTACAATTGCTTTCGTTTAGAAACTTTACCTCGCTCTACTCATGTTTATAGGAAGAAATTTTAATGAATTGAAAGTAGTTAGCATATTCTATTTAATAAATCAAACAAGTAAACTTACAAGATATTGATTCTATATTTTGAGATGGTCGTCGTCGAATGAATTTCACTATATTTTCTATAATAAAACTACCTAATGTTGTTAAACATCCTAATAAACCAATTAATTGTATCAGTACAAATCTCCAATCATATTTTTCATTCTTAAAATAAGTACATAAAAGTGGAGCACATTGTTTATAATATTTCTTATAAGAAATATCAATCACCCATTCTTCAATCATTAAATTATCAATAATTGTTTGCATTGTTGAATTTAACTCATAACGGCTTTGCTCGAATTGTGACATTGCTGTAAAAGGTTCATTCGTAGATAATGATGAAAGAAGACTATTTAAACATGTTTGATTGTAAAAACATTCTAATGTTGAGAGAAGAATTGTATTTACTGGTAAACAGCCATGCACCATTCCAGGAATTTTCATTAATATTTTATCATAAGGCGGCATATACTCAATACTAGGTCTGAATTCATTAAATATCATTGATGGCATATTACAATCAATATGGATTCGACAAGAACAGAATGAGGAATACTCTGGATCCGTTAGAATTTGATTGTGTACCGTAATTTGAACTACATTGATATATGGAGTTGCATAATATTGCATATAATTTGTTTGAAGAGCAGATAGAAAACGATTTCCGGCTATCATTTTTCGTATTAATTCTAATTGTGTTGAGAATCCAATAGGTGATGATAATTGAAATTGATGAATAGTGGCATTTGCTTGGGATTGAAATACAGATTCTTTTAAAACTTCTTGACTTATAAATAAATCTTTATTAAATGAATCAATACTTTGAATAGCATAATCTTTTGAAAGTCGACAAAAACTTTCAAGTGATTGGAATATTGCACTCCCTTCTGTTCGAAAGTCAAAAGCGGAAAAATACGTTGTATTTGAACCAAAATTAATTGTTTTAATCCATCGATCAGATATAAAATCACTTGAACATATCTGATGAAATTGAGTTTGAATTGAAATAAATTCACCATAGGTTAATGATATACGAGAACATGGACAATGAGCATTAGATGGTAAATTTATGAATTGATCTTCACTTGGATTTTCAACTGTTATAAGTGTATTTCGACTTCTTGATTTCATAATAATAGCGAGTCCAAATAGAACGATGATTAAAACAATGAAAAAGATTCGAGTTGAAATAATATTTGATCGACGTTGATGTTCTTTTTCTTCATCTGTTACTGTTGAATCAGTCGATGATTCAAATATATTTAAATTGACAAAATAATTTTTCAACGATAACATTTTATAACACACAAAATAATTATTAATTTCTACAAAAAAAGATACTTAATCTTCGACAAAAAAATAGCAGAGTAACGTTCAAATGACAAAAAGATAAATAATTAAAATAATTATTTCTTCGAACAGTAACAACTAATAGAAATAAAGGATTAAAAATCAAGTGTTTTGGTCTTAATCATGAAAATAAATAAAATTTATCTGAGCTTAAACGAAAAGTTTATTTCAAAAAGAAAGAATAAAAATTATTTTCCATAAAATCTAAAAGAATGAAAAGTTTCTGTAACTTTTATAAATATTCACTATTTAACAAAAGTTTTAAAAAAATCTTTCTCATTTAAATATTTTCTTTCATGTTTAAAGGAAAAGTTTTCATTCTGTTCAGATGCAAATAGTTTTTTTTACATTTGACAGCACTCTAGAAAATTTCTTGCGTCCATCATTGCATTATGAATTGAAATAAAAGAAAAAACAAAAGAAGAATAAGAGAATTTTTTAATTAAACTAAAACAAAAATTTATTCAGATGTATAAAAATACTGATCAAGAAACTCTTTTAAGTAATAATTTGTGATTTTTCTAAATATCAGAGACGAACTTGAATATGAGTATTGATATGTTAATTTCAGTTAATATTTTCTTGTATTATCAAAGTGTAATAGAATTGAGTAACAAGAAAAAGAATATTTCTTTTATGCACATCGAACTTCGTACAAATTTCGTGTCATTTTAATATCACACAATTTCGAGATATTTATTTTTCACTCAAGAACTGACGAAAATTATTAATACTGCAATCTTTTTTTATCTCGATACAACTATTTTAATATTTTAATCATATGCTTATATCTAATAAAATAAAGAACAATCGTTATATTTTATATGCACTCGGAATCTTATTGAGTACTGGACATATAATTAATCGTTCTCTGTACGAATTATATAAAGCTTTGGAATATTAAAATAAATCCATCATTTATTTTATGAAGAGTTTTTTTTTGAAATATTCTTTTATGCTTGAGCGTTATTAATGTATGATGTTTGAATAAAGAATGAAAAAAGAAATTTGCATATAGTTCATTTGACTAATTAAAAAGTAGCATTTCTACAATTAGTTATATAAAGATTGTTTTTAAAATAATGTAAATAAAAGTTTATTCACAACAATTCAATGAATAGAACTTTAAACGAATATATTTATTCTTCAATTCCAATACATTTCATGATAATATTTGATAAAAATAAATATTTTTATTTACTCGATTTCTGTTCAAAAGAAAAAGGAAGTGAAACATTGAACTTTATTAGATAAATGAGTAGGTGCCTAATTCGAGTTATAATATAAATGGAGATTTCAAAAACATGTCAGGGTCGATCAAGGCACAAAAAAAACTTTTTTTTGAATATCAATTATAGTCCGGACACAACTTTTGTATAAATGCAAGACAAACACACCAAAAGTAATTATAAATTATAAACGAGACAGGACAGTACTATAACTACAGCAGAACAGTAGAAAAAAAAATTTTATAAATTATAAATGACACAGGACAGTCCTATAACAACGGCAGAAAAGCAGAAAAAAATTAGAATTTATAATTGAGATAGGACTCGTGGGAAGCTCCGTCGAAAATTTTTGTCAGTGAATAAAATGATTGATATTGATTCTCTTTTCTTTTTCCTATTTTTCAGAATATTTGTTGATTCTGATGATATCTTGTAAGACTGATTCGATTCTGGTGAAGTTTGATTCCCTCGACTGAAGGAAGAGTCATATGAAAAAAAATAGTTTGTCCGTTTGCTTGTCGTAAGGTCAAAAGAATATCAAGATCAAAAAACACCCACAGTGAATTTTTGATAAAAGTTCACGAAAGTAAATCGGGGTCGGAGAATCCGAATCTGAAGTCAGTTTTTCAAAATTTTGATTTGAGTTTTTAGAGTCAAGGAAAGGGTTTTTTGAAACAATAACGATATTTTATAAAGATTGACGAAAGCAAATCGAGGTCGAAGAAACCGAATCTGAAGTTAGCTTTTCAAAGACTCAAACAGTTATTTCTATGAAAAAAATCATACTTTTCTCTGTGAATTATTGTCTAAGGAAAAAGCTAATTCTTTTGAGATAAAGGGAAACTCGAAGTATGGGTGTGGGTGTAGGCGACACTAAAGAGAACACCCACACCCAAGCCCATACCCCGCATTGTTCTATATGTCAGTATAAACCGATTTTGTCGCGTCCCAACACTTATGAAACACCCTGTATGGATATTTACATAATGAAACTTTACTAGAAAGAAACTTTAGAAATTGACCTTAACTTCGTCGTATATCGTCTTCCCTAGGGAAAAATAGTTCCCGCCCCAGACATCGTTTACATTCGGAAAACGCACTATAAACGAATCCGTTTTAATCAACCTGGGCATAAAATAATAAAATGATCATATGGAAGAACAAATTGTACAAATTCAAACGAAATTTAATTCAGCAGAAATCGACAACATTGAAATGAATAAAAATCTGAACCATGAAATGAGGTCTTAAAATTCAACTGGATAAGTTGAGGTAAGTGAATGTTTTATTATTTAAATTTATTATTTTAAATATATTCTTAGAAAACAAGCAAATGAAGTGGTAATTAAGGATGTCAAAGCACATCTTTTATCGTTAGTCATGATTGAGATAAAAGTTGAGTACAACTGCAGAAGAACGACACTCTTTACACTAAATAATCTAATTGATAGGGCATATCAAAGAGTTTCGATGCCGCAGTATCGTTCTTATGCAATTGTACCCTCGATTGATGCATTAAATATAATTCGTCTCTGAAAAGTGCGCTAAATTCAAACTAACTTTGCGACCAACCAAATTTCTTAGTTCAGCATTAACTTTTCTAGTGTAGACAACGCCTGAACGAATTTAGCTGGTGTGGCTGGTATTGGCGGCGTCAGCGCACTCTCATTTAGAGGAGAATGCAATTTCGACTAAAATCTAACAATTTTGTGACAATTAACAAATATTCATGCGCGGTGTAAAACAAAAAAATTTGCAAGAGAACCGTTGTTAACCGAGCTGGTTTTTGAGCAACTTGAACGATATAGAATATAATCCGTCCACATTAAATACACTGAAATATTTAGAAAGAGAACCAAATAATGAAGAATTAGCAATTATATGCAATTGTATTCAAAATTTTTCCAATCAATGTGAATTAGCCATGAGTCAAGTGGTTGAGCTGCTATTACACAAGACAGATATAGATTTCAAATCACACGGACTGGTTGAATGTTTTATAAATGATGTCTTGAACAGTGAATATTACGAAAATGATCTGATCCACTATATAGAAGAACAAGCTATTCAAGTTATTCTCAACGATCAAGAAAAAGAAGTTCTAACGAAATTAGTACATGTCAATATTTAATATCATCAAAATCAAATTTCAACTTCAGATGTACAAAAAATACTCGTGCTTTTAAATTCTTCTTTTTAAAAAATCAACTTTTGACATAATTTTAATACTCTTCCACAAATATATTTATTATAGTAACGTTTCATCTTTCGAAGAAGACTTTTTCAAGTTTATATAACAATAAAAATAAAAATGTACAAATAAACTAATTATAGAAAAAGAACAGAAAAAGAGAAGATGGCAAGATGAAAGTAGAATAGGCTGTATATTTCTTTTAGTTTTATTTTGACAGTGATACGGAAAGAATCAAACCTGCCTAGCCATTACTATTACTGTTATGTTTTCCGTATCATTATCAAAATACAGTAAAATCTCTCTATATTGATACCTCTATAACAAGAACACTTCGCTTATATGGGCACTCGGCGGAACGACCGATCAATTTTTGCTGGAAGTGAGCCTCTCTGACAAAGGCATCTTCCACCTTTAAGAGTGGGCACTGTTTTTTAGGCCATACTGTATTGGTAAACCTCTCTTACATGGGCAGATATAGTGAATATTTTAATCAGTACACTGTTCTTTTCGTTCTCGTCGCTCTTTGTTGTTCTGAGAACAGAAAAGAGAAAAGTTAGATCGACATAACAAAGAAAATAACTCATCTATAATTTCTAATTGTACTGTCAATGATAAAAAGAGTATAAATAGTCATGTCATTTGACATTACTCTTTAAAATCATTGAGAAATAACGTCCTGTCATTATCTTACGCTTGACGAGAAGATCGCATTAATCAACGACTATGCTGATGGAGTTGGACTATCACAGTGCAAATTGTGTGAGAAATACAAGTATCCAAGAGTGCTGTGTACAACATTCTTCAACGAAAAGACGAATACATATATGATTTCCAAACGAATGCAAACAAAGGTGTTAAATGCGAACTGCAAGACAAGTTAGATCATAAGATCGATGATACTGACTGATGCTTATATTGATTCAAAAACTAACAAGCAATATTCAATTATGGATTTTTTTTGCAAAGCTTGACTGTAAATACGAAAATAGAAAATAAACTTAGATCAAGAAGAGACATCAGCTGATTAGAGTAAAATATTGGACATAGTCAAAGGTCTGAAGACTGATTAATAATACGTAATTATAGGTGCTCTTAATGACGTAGGTTGCGGAAAGCATATTTGTGATCGGTATCTGTAAAAAAGTCTATAATGCAGGCACCTCCGTCAGATGGGCGATTTGAAAGAGTCCCATAGGTGCCCATCTAAGGGAGATTGTACTGTAAAGCTAAAAAAAATATACACCCTATTCTACTTTCATCTTTTCATCTTTTCTTTTTCTATAATTAGTTTATTTGTATATTTTTATTTTCATTGTTATATAAATTTGAAAAAGTCTTCTTCGAAAGATGAAACGTCACTATAATAAATATATTTGTGGAAGAATATTAAGATTATGTCAAAATTATCAACAAACTTCCTGTCAAGACAAGAATTAGAAAATCAATTATTAACGAATATTTTATTGATCCACAAGCATCCGATTATAATATTAATGGTCCACTTCGATGGCCGATTGTTGAAA